AAAAAAAAAAAAAAAAAAAAAAAATCTCTTGTTTGAAAATAAAATAATAAACTTGCACGTAAATCATTAAAGCTGCCTGTTTTACAGCTCCATTGTCCTAAGGAATCATTACGGCCGCCCATACGAGGCTGTAGGGGGACCCTCCTAAGTCATCCAATTATAAAATAAATATTCCCATTTCCAAGACTGCATCACGGTGGGCCAAGCCAAAAGCCCACTAATAAAAGATAAAAGTAGCCCAGGCCCATAAAAAGAAGGCCCATATCTACGGCCCAAAATAATAGCCGACAAAGTAATACACGTGGCAATATGCAATAGGGCCACGAATCTGAGGAGGACGCAGAAAGAAAAGTTTGGCGCAGCGTCATAAGCAGTTTTCTCATGACAGTTTAAAAAGAATACTGTTTTCTCCCGCGAAAAAGCAGTTTTTCTTTCATTAGTTTATTGGTGAAGAACTGGAAAGGCACGAGGAGAAGCTAGTGGGCGGTGGGGCGGGCGAGGCGAAGTGAAGCCCCTTCCCCCCTTCACAAATGGCCCTATTTCTCTCTCTCTCTCTCTTACTTTTCCCCCATTTTCTCTCCCTTCTCATCTTTTCTACTCCCTCTCCTGGAGGAGCTTGCTCTGCTGCAGATCCGTGATCTAGGACTGGACGAAAATGGTGAACGATACTGAGTATTATGATGTTCTCGGTGTTCGTCCTTCTGCTTCCGAGGAGGAGATACGTAAGGCCTATTATCTCAAGGTTGGAGGTTTTTTGATTGATTTTGTTTGAAGAGATTTGAGTTTCGTTCTGTTTAGTTTTGGAAATAGGTAGACTGAGAATGAATTGGATAATTGGTTTGGAGTTTGAGTTAATTGTTCTGGTATAGGCGAAACAAGTCCATCCGGATAAGAATTTGAATGATCCTCAAGCTGCTGATAGGTTTCAGGCAAGTGTACTAAACTGGTTTTTATCGTCTTCTTTACCTTCTGCTGTTTATGTTTTGCTTAATGTGGAGCTTTTTCCTAGCGGCCGGAATTTTGTATTGCGTTACTTTTTGTTATATGAAATAGTTTGATTACTTCTCGCAGGTGCTTGGTGAAGCATATCAAGTTTTGAGTGATGCAGTCCAAAGAGAGGCATATGATAGGAATGGGAAGCACGGTATTACTAGGTTAGATCTCTTGGTGGAGAGGCATTAATTGATTTTGATTTTTCTCTCTGGACTGTGTTGTGCTGTTTTTCTTTTTCTTCTTATTTATTTAGTATTATAATTATTATTATTATTTGATGATTTACTGTTTTTCTCTTGACATTATTTGATTTGTTATGTCCAGGGAATCCATGCTTGACCCTACTGCTGTCTTTGCACTTCTATTTGGAAGTGAATTATTTGAGGACTACATCGGACATTTAGCGGTAGCATCAATGGCTTCATCTGAATTAGAGAGCGAAACTGGTAATCCAGAGAGACTACATGAGAAGTTGAAGGCAAGTTGCCTAATGGTGTTTAAAAGTTACATAATATAGATTTTCTTTTTGTTGCGTTTGGCAAATCAAAACCAGGTATTTTATTCACAAAGTTACACTTAGATTGACCTTGATAATATAGAATTGTTGTGCCTTCTCAACAAAAATTCAGATTGGCCAAGTTTTGCCTACCCTACCCAGATTATTAGCAACAAGCCAAGACAACCTTAAATAGGAAGTTTTCCATTTCAAGGCATACAAATAACACTGAAGACACTTTTGTATCTAGTCAGATCAAGCTTTTGCTACAACAGTTCTGTTGGTAACCAATCCTTTTCAAAACAACTTTTATGTCCATAAGCAATCATAGATGAGAAGGAATTCTGTTCCTTCTTCCCTCTCTCCCCCAAAACATTATTTTCCCTTTTCAATTCCTTTTTGTGGTTAAAATTCTCGGGAACGTAATCTATCTTCATATTTGTTTCTCTCTCTTACACCTGTTTATCTCTTAAAATTTGAAAAGTTGGCCAACATCTTTGAGAAGCTGTGGTTTTAGATTCCCGCAAAGTTAGCTCTTAACGTCAGACCTTTCCATGTTTCAACAAGGATGTATACTTACAGAATGTATCCTTTTGCTCAAGATTCACTCTCTAGACCATCTCCACATCCCTGATATACAACTTATCTGATGTAGGCTGTCCAGAAAGAAAGAGAAGAAAAACTTGCACGTGTACTTGAGGGTTTTCTTAATCAATATGTTCAAGGTGACAAGGATGGATTCTTACGGCATGCTGAATCTGAAGCCAAAAGTCTTTCAAATGCGGGTAAGAACAACTATGATTATGATATTGCAATTACTCTCTTCCTTTCCCGCCTTTTTCCTTCCAGATTTCATTAATTTCTAACTTTGACCGTTTCTTGTTGCAAGACTCGAATTCTTGTGTTTTTCTATGCAAGGATGTTATGTGCCTAGCCATGTGAAACGGCACCTTAATTAGTTTGACATTTTCTTGAAAGCTTATTGATTCAGGTGCCTTCTTGTATTTATATTAATGATCCTCGTTTTTCCTCATTATGGACATGCAGCTTTTGGTGCTAGTATATTACACACTATAGGCTACATTTATTCAAGACAAGCAGCACAAGAGCTTGGAAAGAGAGCCATTTATCTTGGCGTGCCATTTGTGGCTGAATGGTTTCGCAACAAGGGACATTTTTGGAAGTCACAGATAACGGCTGCAAAAGGCAGGAAAATCTCAAGCTTACACTTCGTCCTCTGTTTCTCATCGATGATTGAGTATTCTGCTTTGATATTTTGCTACCTAATCAGATCAACAATTTATATGTATCCAGGTGCTTTCCAGTTGTTACAACTTCAAGATGATATTTCCCGGCAGTTTAAAATGGATGGTAGTGGCCCAGGAAATGATATTGAATCGCATATACGAGCGAATAAAGACACATTCCTGAATTCTTTGTGGAAGCTTAACGTAGTGGACATTGAACTGACTCTTGTAAATGTGTGCCAGATGGTGAGCTTTCTCTCTCTTTAATTTTGAAGTGAATATTTGGGAACTTATCGAAGTACCAGGGAAGTTAGGCGCACTTATTAATGATGCATTTGTTATTCCTAGGCAATTAAGACTTAGGAATAAGTATTTGATGAATTGATACTTTTATACTGAAAAAAGATATATTCTTATTAGGCACAGATAATGAATTTTTTGTGGTCCAATTCGTTCCCCAGGTCCTACGGGATGATACTGTTAAAAAGGAAGAACTAAAAGCCCGTGCTCTGGCAATGAAGATTCTTGGAAAGATATTCCAGGTTCAATATGAGATTAAGATTTGAGACACGTTCACCACTTTTGTTACTTTTCCATCATTAAAGTTTTTCTTAATTTTACTAAAATTTCATTTATACCCCACAAGTTCTAACCTTTTCTATATAAGGATCTAGTTGATGATGGCTTTTACTGGATATAATGGCTCCTCTCTGATGTCAAAGTCGCACAGTATAAGATGCCGGCATATTTTGCATTTTCTGATATATTTTGAAGAAGGGTGATAATGTTCAGTTTTTAACGCCTTGTTATAAAAACTACTTCCTGTCCTTATCAGCAGGAGAAGCATGCACAAAATGGTGGAACGTCAAGAAAGAAAAGTGCTGCTGCAGTAGATGACGATGGAACGAGTTCAGAGAGTAGTGATGATGAGGATCACCAGAGACCACTATCATATCGAACTCCTTTTCTTACTCAGGCAAGTGGATCAGCTCTTCTCTCCCTACTCAAAACCCTATCTTATTCCACATAATTGATGTCTAAAATATTTGTTTAAAAAAATTTCAAATAAGTTAACGTGTTGGATTTAAAATTAAAAGCTTGAAGAAGATTTTAGATATTTTTAAAGTTTAGAAACCTTTAAATGCTCTTTACAGAAACTTAAAATTTCAAAACCTTAACTTGTAATTTAACCTTGAAATTATTGTGCAAAGTTTCAATTGATCTAATTGAACCAAGTAACGTTAAAAAGAAAGAAAGAAAGAAAAAAAAAAAAAAGATAAAAACAGTTGTCTTTTTTCCTCTTAGCTTTATACAAGAAAATATAAACGAATTTGAAAGTAGACAAGTCTTCGCCATAGTGTTTTAACTCGTGGGACGTAGTTTTTATTATCATTTCAGATTGATTAAGACAATTCCTTGGCATACTCAGCACCTCACACTGTATGCAATTATTATAAACAGTTTGCGTAGTATTTGCTTGATATTTTGCACTCTTTTGATGGGAAAATAGATCATGGTTGAAGTTTCTATATCATTGTTCATGTCTTGCAGGGTATTGGTAGACTCTTCAGGTGTCTCTGTAACCCAGCATTTGATGTAGAGGATGACGAAATCGTGTATAAAAGCAAATGATGAATATATCTATTCATGCAAGAAGGTTTTTATCTCTTATCTTTCAACAAGCACAGAGCCTTTAATTGTGTTGACAAAAATGTTGGGCTAAAATCAATGATCTTCCATTTTGTCACAAGTTGGCCACCATGTATAATCGACTTTACTCAAACTCTGTTAATAGTTCTTTATATCCATATAATATACATACATAATTCTCCAATGGGTTGCAAATGTAATGCTTTAACTTTCTAATCGAGGTCCGCACACTGAACACAATGATTCAATATTTACTTTCATATGAAATGATATTGCAAATGAGGTATCAAATAAGCATGATGTATGATTTTGTTCTGAAAATAATCCTTTTCAGTTCCAGCATTCACTAGAGAACAGGCCTCAAAATTTTATTTAGTCACAGCTTCCTTAACAGTAGCCTCGTGTCAAAAGGCGAGTATTTTTTTGCTTTTCCTATTGTTGGGTGACCTGTTGCAGTTTTCTGTCCAAAAGTATACTTAAGAAATTTATATATTTCAAGGCATTTCCACAACTAACCAAGCATGTCTCTAACAACGTAGGCTTGGCATAGAAATGTCCAACGGGGAAACAGATAGAACAAAGTCTTCATACGTTCCATCTCCCGTTCTTCAGAGGTACTTGTACATAACCAAACAAAAAGTGTTGTTTCGTGAATAACATTACTCTCAAAGCTTCTTCCAGTGTTCAATGAGCCGGATGATGAAAAGCAGCAGTGCGGTGAGCTTGGACTGCACAAGCACAATGCACAGACATCAAATTTAGACAGCCACTCATGATGAGAGAATGTCGACCCGGGCAGGTGTGAAGCGCTGGAAACGAATCACAAACTGCCTGAACAGCAGGGGGGGTAAGAGCTGTGCATTGACTAATGTTAAGTGTTCGAAGTCCATCGTGATCGTTCTTGCATTTCCCAGGTGCCCATTTTGTAGGCTTGTTCTTTATGCTATGGGCCAAAGAGTACATAGCTCTGTCTGTTATGTTCTGACAGTAGTAGAGGCCAAGGGACCTCAGATGAGGGCACATATTTGCCAAAGCAATCACACTATTATCTGCAGATGAGGCAAAATGATCAAACATTGTTCTGCTACACTGTAATAGCCATTGTTTCCATGAGCCATAAACCAGTTCAACAACAGTTCAAGAGAAAAGCAAAACAACCGCGCAATTTACACTCAAAAGAAGTTTCTGATGAGGCAGCTCATCTGATCACACAAACAGATCCAACTATGAAAAGCAACAGACTTAAAAGAGAAGCAAAAAAGCCATGATTTTGGTTAATCTGTCAACTTCATGAGCCTATTTGCTTGGCAATAACTGCCAGCATAGTTAGTGTAAAACAAAGGACTATTGATTTATTAGCCATCTATAACAGCCCAAGTCTACCGCTAGCAAATATTGTCCGTTTTGGCCTGTTACATATCGCCATCAGCCTCACGATTTTAAAACGTGTTTGTTAGAAGAGGTTTCTACACCCTCATAAGGAATGTTTTGTTCTCCTCTCCAATTGATGTGGGATTTCACAATCCACCCCTTTAGGGGCCAGTGTACTCGCTGGCACACCGCCCAATATCTAGCTCTGATACCCTTTGTAATATCCCAAGCTTACCGCTAGCAGATATTGTCCGTTTTGGCTCGTTACGTATCGTCGTCAGCTTCACAATTTTAAAACGTGTTTGCTAGGGAGAGGTTTCCCCGCCCTTATAAGAAATGTTTCATTCTCCTCTTCAACTGATGCGGGATCTCACAACCCACCCCCCTTGGAGGCCCAAAATTCTTGCTGGCACACTGCTCGTTGTCTAGCTCTGATACCATTTATAACAGCTCAAGCTTATCGCTAGCAGATATTGTCCGCTTTGGCCCGTTACGTATCACAGTCAGCCTCACAGTTTTAAAATGCATCGGCTAAAAAGAGGTTTCCACACTCTTATAAGGAATGTTTTGTTCCCCTCCAACCGATGTGAGATCTCATACAATTAGAGGTAGAAGTGAAGAATATTTGACGCTAACACTACTCTTTATAGGGCCATGAAATTCGACTAGTTGAAATCTGTAATACAATAAAGCTTCAAAGTTGATTGATAAAGCCTCCAGAAAGACATCATAAATCACACAGATATTATACTCAACCAAACAAAAACCACCTCTGATCAGTTCATCCATGTACCTGTAATTAGGACACAGCCACACAAATCTAAGCTTCTGAGATCAGGACATCCATACGCCAAACTCATCACACCCACATCACTCACATTCTCACACCATCCTAGATTTACAGACTGCAAATGATTACAGTATTGCCCGATAACCTGCACAAAAAACGACGGGGATTACACCAATCAACTTCATAAACGCTATACGCGCTTAATCTGTACATTGTACCTGCAATGCAGTGTCCGATGTAGCCTTGACGCAGCCACAAAGATTAAGAACTTTTAGCTTTCTGCAGTAACTGGCTAGATAAGCCAATGCAGTGTCACTAAATGAAGTACAGCCACTAATATTAAGCTTTTTAAGATCACGGCAACCATGAGCCAGAGCATACAAGGAACGATCACTGAGCTTGAAACTTTTTCTCAGGTCCAGGACCTGCAGATCGCAGCAGTAACTAGCAATGGTATCAACAGCCTCATCTGCAAGCTGGGGTTTATCTTGGCGCAAGATTAAGGTTTGCAGTTTTGCAAATTTAGGGACAAGGGATAGGACCAAGTTGTTCATGTTCTTCTTGCACCTGAATAAGAAGTTGACACCAACAGGCAATTAGCCATCTGCCTTGCCAGGCATTCATCTTGATCGAACAAATTCACTAATAAAATACTTCTACCAAGTTCCAAGGTGATCATTAAGATATGTGTTATGATTATGATGTGCTTGAGCTTATTAAGTGTTTCATCCCTTTTCTTGCAAGATTTTGAAACACATAACTCATCACATCATCTATCTACCTTCCAATCTCACCAATTCTTCGTCGGAACTCTTGCGATTACGCGAGGAAATAGGTAATCTAAGTACTCATAGTTCTAAAGTAAAGTACTAATAAAATCAGAAGAAACAGACCAAATTCATCATATCATATGAAACTATTTAACAGAAGGAGAAAAATCAATATCAACCAGACACCCAACAAGTCAGAAGCCTGGAACGAAACAAGATAATATGCCTAAAGTCACATCAGAGGCTAAATGTAACCTTTGGGTTTTCCCTTTCGGGCGTCCGCTCGAGACTTTAAAATGTGTCGGCTAGTGAAAGATTTTCACACCCTTACAAAAGGGTGTTTCGTTCCCAAACCAACGTGCGATATCACACTAAACTAAACGATAAAAGATTCAAAAGAAATAGAAAGATAAGAACAAGTACCATGAGAGAGAGAGATGGAGGAGTCCAAAGCAAATAGCGTCCCTCCATCCACGACACACGCCTGAAGCCACAATAACAGTTCGATCATCAACAAGAGATATAATTTGCAAGAGAAGCTCCATAGGAATGTCCTTCCATCCGGCTATCACCCCACCGTCCATATTATAACTCCTTTAGCACCAAAGTCGATTCATTACTCTCTCAAACCACATCTTCACGTCCTCTGCCCTCAAAATGTCTTTACCAACCATTTCACTCAAAATTCTCACAACCCCCTCTTACCTAAAACTTATCAGACTACCCTGAAAAAAAAAACCCAGAATTTTCTCGCTCCTGCCGCCTGAGAGAAAGAAAGGCAAGATTATAACTCAGAACACAATAACCAGTAGAAGACATGCAAAAACCAGGTATCTTTGTATATGCAACCAACGTAAAGGGCCAAGGCTGGTGCAGCCATGATCCCCAACTTCTTTCAAAGATCAAAGAAAAATCAGAAAACAGAGCGACCCACTTCAAGAAATTACAGTTTCTTCTGCCCAATGGTTGAAAACAAACTAAAACCCACAAAATTTATACAGAAAACAGAGCGATCCAGTTCAAGAAATTACAGTTTCTGCTGCCCAATGGTCGAAAACAAACGAACACCCACAACATATAAACAGAAAACAGCAGAGCGACCCAGTTCAAGAAATTGCAGTTTCTGCTGCCCAATGGTCGAAAACAAACGAACACCCACCAAATATAAACAGAAAACAGCAGAGCGACCCAGTTCAAGAAATTGCAGTTTCTGCTGCCCAATGGTCGAAAACAAACGAAGACCCACAAAATATAAACAGAAAACAGCAGAGCGACCCAGTTCAAGAAATTGCAGTTTCTGCTGCCCAATGGTCGAAAACAAACGAAGACCCACAAAATATAAACAGAAAACAGAGCGACCGAGTTCAAGAAATTGCAGCTTCTGCTGCCCAATGGTTTAAAACAAACGAAAACCCACAAAAATTACACAGAAAACCTCGATTATCAAAAGGGAAACAACAACACGAAATAAAAAGAAGACAGCGCGATGAAAAAGGCAATCACAAGTACTATAAATTTTAAAGAAAAAAACGCCTAGGTGTCCAGTGATCAAACCTTCAACACCCAGTATGTGTTATCTTACGATCAATCAAAAGATTACAAGCTAGAAGTACCTCGGACCGCTTGCCTTACGAATAAACGAAATTCGTCCAAACCAAAGATTGCCTATAAAAGACACAAATGGTAGAGAGAAAGAGACCAGAAGTGTTGGGGTTTGGAAGAGGGAGAGGGAAGATGAAGGGAGAAAAATCACGCCCGGTGGCAAACAACGAGCAGTGCAAATTGCGCCACGTGGAAAGCATGATTCGTGCGTGTGAAAATGGATTTTGGATTTTTGAGACGGACCCACTTAAAAGGATCCATAATTGAACTAAAACACTAAAAATCCAAATTTATTTTATTTTATATAATTTTATTTATATATTCGGGAAACAAAGTCTGCGGCTTGTGGAGAAGATTCTGCGCGCTTAAAACAGAAGCCGCAGCCGCAGCCGCAGCCGAAAGCAATTCTTTTTCTATTTTTCAGAAATACCTTTTTCCCTTTAATAATAATAATAATAATAATAATAATAATAATAATAATAATAATAAGAGTATTATTCCAAAATTCCTTAAGAACTAAGACGGGTGAATATTTTTTAAAATAAAATCAATAACTATAAATAAACATTTAATTTATAAAAGTCAAAGACAAAAAGCAGAAGCAACAAAAGTACTGTTTTTTTTTTTTTTTTAATTGTGTGGTTTAAAACA